TATATATATATATTGCATGTATGAATGCATTAATAGCCCAATATGACATTAAGTAAATCATAATTCACAACTATTATATAAAATATGTAAATAAATATTATAGAGTTGTCCTCCCCATCATGTATATCCAACATAATATATGTATATATTATGTATGTCCAAGCACTCATGAAGTGACCCCACCAATATAAAAACATTAGAACTTAAAAAATCTTATTGCATTCATTATTAATGATTGATGATCCCCTCAACATCAAGCGAGTAAAGACATAAAAAATTGTGGGGTGCAATCGCTAAACAGCAATTGCAACAAATCCACGTGGCTTTTGATTATTGGTGAGGTCAATTTCATGTCATTTCCGCAGTCGAAAACCAAGATATACATAATAATGATAATAATTAATAACAAATGACGTCATCTCACCGCACCGCAATTTCTATGAATATACGAAATTCCGGGCGACTTGGACATGTGGGCCCGCAGCCATCCTTAAATTGTCGCATAATTCTTTGATTCCTAAAGGAAAATGCTTTGTGCTTTTAATTGTGGCTAAATAACCCACATTTGTTAAATAGATAACCATAGTTATTTTATAAAAGTGAATTTATAGCAAATTTATTTTTTTTCATTTTTTATTAATTTATTTCATGTAGGACATATCTCGAAAGTCCTGATGCGACATAAATTCACATATATTGATTTGCACTTTAGCCTAACTAGCTGGTCACTGCGAACTCACAAAGATCATGATGAAGTCGTTGAATTCTAAATGAGTAGTCATCCAAGTTCAAGCTTACTAGTCTAAGATTAAGCATTTTAAGCCCAAGTTTAGGAACTAATTATTAAATGATTTTATTAAAGTAAATAAATGACATCTCCTTAACACATCTGCTAAAATTTTGAGTATTCAATTTAGAATTCGGTTTGTTTAAGAATGACACTCGAAGACAGAGAGTATCCTTAGCAAAGTTGAAATGGAGTTTCTCAAAATGTTGCACTAAGAAAATAGCCTAAATTTTTTTTAAGATGAAGTACTTGTTCAATTCAATGCTAGATTGTATTTAATTTCGATATTGACATACTTTCCACTTAAATGCTTACATATTTAATAATAACTACAAGATCATTGGGGCATTCAACAAAAAAAGGGACTAACTTGATATCTTCTTCAACAAAAAATAAGCAAACTTCAGCTTCAACAATGATCTTCATACCAACAACATATGTAGTAGCAAGATTAATTTGCTCATTCGGTCGACTAATTGAAACCATTAAAGTTGCATTTGAAGAATGTAAGCAAATAATTAATACCACATATTCTCTTAAAGAGTTTAGAGAATTTATATACTTACATGAATACATAGATTCTCAATGAAAATTGGGTCATTTATCAATATCTTTCGCTTATAGGAAGAATATTTTTTTGTCAAGTCAGAAGAAAAATATAATCACCAATTGATCCAAGAAGACTTAACCATTTTTTTTTAACTAGCCTCAAGAGATTCAAGCTACGTCTTGTTTGTATTTTTCTTCATATAACTGATGCGGTCCCTCATCTCTAAGATCACTTGATGCAGTTCAACATCATAAAGGGCCAGGTCGCGTATCTCGATGTTAACATTTCGAGGATATTATGGTTTCCCCTAACTTAATAGAGTACCACTAATACAAAATTCGTCAGATTTTCCCTCTTCTCTCTATAGAGTTCTTTGAGGGGCTTCAGCCCCGCTCTCAGATTTCGATGAAATCTAAAAAAAATCATAAAATACAAGGAAGTTATTTTTTTTGTAGACATCCTGCTAACTAAAAGACTTTGTTTATAGATATTTTGTATCATTTACAAGCATCATAATAGATTTCTTAATATATATTTTATTACAACGACTTCTTGATATTTTGTAACAAATACTACAAGATGTGTCATTTTTAATAAATCTTGGATGTTTATAGCTGAACTTTCTGTTACTCTTCAATTAGTAGCAAAATCTGACATCGGCTGATCATTTTTGCTTCTTCTCTTTTTTTTTTGTCTAGTTCAGTTTTTAAATTTATGTTTATTCTTAAGTCTGTGTTTCAGTTTGCGATCACATCAATACTCCACTGATGGATATGAAACTTATCCTCAAGGTTAAAATCTAGTTACGACGTTTGTATTTTTTTAAACAACTCCCATGATGCATCTTCTTTTGAATGTCTTACTTGTTATAATGCTTTATTATTTTGTAGTAGGTTTTGCTGTTTAAGGACATCTATTAATTTAAGTACTAGTTGTTCTACATTGAACTATTATGGCAGAGTTATTGGATGTCATTTCTGATCTTCCTTATAAGGCTAAAATTTTGAGATGTGAAAAATTGAATGTATTCTAGTTGTTGTAGGTAATTGAAGCTTGTAGGCCCGTAAAACTTTCTATTTAATTTGGTGAATCAGCTATCAAATATTATGATTTTGTTATATGATTTTAGTTGAACCAACATTTTATCCCCTATTTGGAGCTGTAGATCGATTCTTTTTATGTTTTCTTTTTGTAACATTTGATTATATGTTATGTACTGTTATTTTCAGTTATTATAATTTTTAGTATTGTTGTTTGAGTAGGGTATCTACTGTCTCAATTTAAGTGTTATTAGTCATGTGGAATGATTGTTGAGGGTCTCTATTATAAATAATTTGGAATGGGGAGAAGTTTGTAGAGGTATGTTTAGTGGTATTATAAGAAAATTCAACCCATTGTAAGAAATTTACTCACCAAACATCTTAATTTTTGCTTTAATCCTTTTTTAGTAGCTTCTATCTATCCATTTCAGAATGATATGAGCTGCTATAGTTCAAAGTAATGCTACTTAGTTTGAATGATTCTTGCCAAAATTTACTTTAAAAAAGTGGTCACGGTTAGATGCTACTATTTTTGATATTATATAGAATCTATAAATTTTTGAAGAAAAAGCTTAAGGAAATTGAGAGAACAATAAATAGAATTTTATGAGCTAAAAAATAGGCATATTTTAAGAAACATGCTAGCAATCACTAATATCACTATTTTGCATTTAGAATTTGCTAATCCTGTGATGAAAATTATCGAGATTTCTTCTTAGATTTTGTTTGGGATAGATAATGGTTGTAGTCGATATGTATGTTTTTCATTGTCATATTTGGCATTTTGGCATGTGGGACATTTACGAATAAATTGCATTGTATCTTGTTTCATTTTTTTGTACCTCAATGTTCTGTCACTGGTAATAATCTAGTTAAGTTAAAATATTTGATTTCAGTTAGGAAGTGTCAGCTAATATAATTCTATGTTTGAAATATACTAACCCATATTTTATAGTTTGTTGTTTGATTTTTGCTAGTCTATTTTGGCCTCCAATTGGGAGAAACGCAATGAAAGTCTTGTGAACACCACTCTTAGAGAAGAGAAATGTTCTTCAGACTTACCTAGTCTATTTAAGAATTCATCTGATATTTTCCATGTTACTTATCTCCTCAGTCATTGAAGAAGGATTGTTTTTTTGTTTGTATTTGTTTCAGGTGTGTTTGTCACAAGAATCTTTAGTAGAATAACGAAAACATCATTAATGTGTCCCTAAATCTCCAAGTTCACTTGATGCAGTCCAAAATCATAAAGGAACAAGTCTCGTTTCTGAGGCTGACATTTCGAGAAAGAGTATCATGGTTTCGTTTCTCCTTGTAGAGTACCATTTGTGCTGCACTCTTAGGGGGTTCCCTATTTCTTCTGTGGAGTTCTCTGAGCAGCACTAGCTCTATTCTCAGACTTTAGTAAAATCTGAGAAAATTTTCCTACATTACACCAGAGCTATTTCTTTTTTTTTTTTGTGGCTACACTGCTAGCTACAATGTTGTATTTATAGATTTTTGGTATTGTTTATAACCGTAAAAAAATATTTCTTAATTTGTTTTTCTATTGCAACAACTTTTTAATATCCTTTAACAAATTTTACAAGATACATCATTTGTAACATAATCTTAAATTTTAGAGCTATACTTTCTATTACACTTCCTTTAGAAACAAAATTGGATATCCACTATGATCGTTTCTAATTCCTTATATAATTTTTCTTTCTTCAATTTTGGGGGGTGTTTGGCTGCAACTAGGATTTAAGTTAGTTAAGATTAAGCAAATCTAGATTTATCAAATCTAAATGTTGTTAAATCTAAAATAGTGTTAGTTTAATTAAGATTAAATCCAGTTAAATCCATTGATTTGTTTGACATAAATCTATTAGAAATATTTTTTTCCCTAGTTAAATTTGTCAAATCCAACTAATATGTAGATTTAATAAATCCAGATTTAATAAATAGATCGAATAAAAATGGGATTTAAATTAACAAAGGACTTATATAACTTATTTTATATTTGGTTGGACTTATGTTAAATTCCACCTATTAAAAGTAGCGTACAAAACATCCCGTGTGTTTAAGTTCATGCTTATGTTTATATTTAAGTCTTTGTTCACATCATGAACTCTCTCCTTCTCTCTCTTAGTCTCTTTAAAATGCTCCAAACTAAAACCATCTTTCAAGTTTTAATTTTTTTCTTAAAAATAACAGTTAAAAGTAAATCTTAAAACTAAAGGAAGAATAAGAAAAGATTCCAATATATTTCAATGCATAGGTTGCTGATAATGGTGACATGGGCAAAAAGATAAATTCATATTAAAATCACAGCACAAAAATTTTTAATGCGGATAGAATATTAAATACTTTCTACTATATATATATATATAATGACAGGAGGTTATTATATGAGCCTAAGTCATCTAAGAATCGAACCTCAGACAAGAAGAGATGTCCAACCAACTATATATATGAAGCATATATCTTATAAATATTTCACATAAAAATATACAAAAGGAACAATAATATAAAATAGATAGATCTCAGCCCTCTATCATGTTAATAACAATATCATTAATAATAATAATAATAATAATAATAATAATAATAATAATAATAATAATAATAATAATAATAATAATAATAATAATATAATACCACACTAATACTTCCGAGCAATACATTTTATCGGCTTAACAAAGTCATCAACGCCGGTGAGTGGCGGTCACAAATGATTCAATAAGATATGAAGAACGGATAGCTACGAGTCAAAATCCAATGCAGAAATCTCGGCCCGGCCATCAAGATGAAGTCGCAATGCAATGGGGCTGCTCGAAAATGAACAGCGGCCGCCGGAGCTCGCTGCACCGCCGCATATCATGAAGCAACAGCAACTCCTCCCTTCTCAGCCTCCTCGACGCAAACAGAAGCTTCGCGTCCGCCGTCGCGGCCGCGGCCAGCGACTGCGGGCCCCACGGGGTGTCCTGATGGTGGTGAAGATAGTTGTAGTGGAATCCCTCTGACGTGGAAGCCGGAGCGCTTATGGAGGACGCCGCCACCGCCGCTGCCGCCGCCGTTGTGGTGGCGGGCTGACTTTAACATCGGCGGCGGTGAGGGGGGAGCCGACGACGAATTTGTTGATGACGAGAGAAGAGCGGTGGACTTTCACTGCTGCCAAGCCGCTGACTTTGACTTCCACTATGGTTCCCCTGTCTACCACTTCCACTTCTTCTTCTTCTTCTTCAACTTCCTCTGCTTCTTCTTCTTCTTCTGGTTCTGCTTTTTTCTGTGGGAGAGGAATGGAGGGAGTTGTGTTTGAGGGAGAGGAGGAGTTGATGAAGGAGAGTAGGAGACGGCCGCCGTGGCGTTCGGCGTGGAGGTAAGTCTGAGAGGGGACGGGGATGGCTTCAACAACGAGGCGGCCATCGCGTCGGTGAGGGAGCATCTTGAGGCAAGGGCCGTCGCGGCGAGAGATGGAAGAAAGAGGAGGAGGGAAAGACCTCGCCGGAGATCGCCGGCCGATGGAGCAGTGGTAATTGACAGTCGGGAGTTCTTTTTTCTCCTTCTTCACTTCCCCTGTTTCCTCCCCTGCTTCTTCTTCTGTTTCTTCCTCTGTTGCTTTCTCTGTTTCGGAATCCGAGGAAGAGAAGAAGTCAAATTCGTCGCCGGAGGAGAATCCATCGGAGCCGGTCTCGGAACCGAGGCTTTCAGTGCAAATCTCTAAGCTCTTTTGGCTCATGAGAGTGGAAGAGCGAGAGAGGGTGGATGTAGGGCGGTGATGGAGATTTGGTGTTCTGTTTTTCGCTCTGGATTGAGTTCCAGATATCGATTCTCTCCTTGTCTTCCTCCTGCGCAAGGACGCTCATTTTCGTTAACCAAATGTTGGGTTCCGGTGTTGCCGGAGGGTGGAATTGGTAGCCGGAGGTGAAATTGGTTCGCAGGCATGGTTGGGGAAGAGATACAGTGATATCCGCCATTAAAGGCGCGTCCTTTGGTGATTGTGAGACAGCTGAGGACGTAGGAGGAGGGGCGAAACGAGAGGGAAGCAGGGGATTTAATTAGTCCTGCAAGGTATGAGAAGAAGGGGGGGAGTGCTGAGTATTTGTAGGGCGGAGGAAGTGAAGAGAAAGTCGAAGCTTTTGCCGCCCATGGCCCTCCACAATCTCTGCCACTTTGGCTTTCCAGCCTCCCCCTTCCCATTTACCTCTGCGCACTTCCCTCATTTTTAAGTGCAATTTTTAATTCACAAATCATATTTCAATCATAATAATTTCTTAAAATTCTTAATTGCATTTTCAAATTAGTATCTTAAGAGCTCTTTGATTTCCTGAAAATGAATTGTAAAATAAAATAATTGTAGAGTATTATGATGGTAATTTATTTGAAATTCTTTTCTTTTATTTGGTTCCATGTTAAATAAACATATTTTTTATCTTTCTTTTTTTATTATTGGTTAGAAGCACATTAAAAAAAATGTATTTCAAAATATATTTTTTATGCGACAGATGCCTAATTCGTGACCGACAGTGAGGAGGCGGATGGTCGTCAGCTGAGGTGGCGGTGGGGAGGGTCTGACGGGAGGCGAGCGGCGAGCAGTAAAACTGCGATGGCATCCGTTGGCGGATAATACATAAGAACTTTAAAATGATCCTATTACATACGGTCTTCATAAAGCTTTATCTATAGCTTTAAAAATGAGCTTGAAACTTATTGGACTTGTTTTAAATTAATGTTGTATACATATTATTTGTATTAATCTTTATTTTTAAAATTCATAATGATAATAATTTTATTAGAATATTTATGACATTATATTTATCTGAACATTAAGACTTATTCTACTATTTCGAAATCGGCTCCTTATGAATGGAATCGATCTATCTTAAATCTGTTATCCCGATCATATTTGGAGAATTCCATTTGAAATCGTCAAAATCTACAAATCTTTTGAAGCCCATCGAAGCCGCCAAAAGCTTCTGAAACCCTAACAAAACTATACTTGAAACGAACACTAGACATTACAAAAATATCATATTATCATTACAATAGTTCAATATAAATGGCCGACCGGTACATATTTTAATGAACATATGGGCTCATTAATATCGGGAAGATTTACATACATACCTTTACATTCCCATATATTTATATATCTAATACTTAAACTTTAATATTTACATAAAAGACCCTTTCCCTACGAATGAAAAGTTAAAATGGAAGTATTTTTAAAGTTTAAATGATATATTTGTAAATACATAGGAATTGGGTGGGATATATGTAGGGCTGTCAAAACGGCTCGTTGTTCGCGAACAGCTTGTGTTCGGTTCGTTCGCTAAGTTAAGGAACCGAACACGAACTAATATTTGTTCTTTCGTGTTCGGCAGGTTTTGACTCGAAATACTACTAATCTATTATATATATATCTTTGATGAGTACTATTTTAAAAAAAATTAATTGACTACAAGGCTACAAAGATTTATAATCAATTAAAAATATTAATGAAGAAGATAGAATATAAATTATTAAATTAGATTCAAATGATGTTTAAAATCTTGCCCAAATTCTTAACATCTTTTAGCTACGTGATTAGAGTTGTCAAAACGACTCTTTCTTCGTGAACAGCCTCTTGTTTGGCTCACTAAGCAAACGAGTCGAACGCGAACACATTTTTTGAGCTCAAAATATAAGCGAGCCGAACTCGAGCGAGCCCACGAGATAAGCCTGGGCGTTCAGCTCGTTGACACCCATGCGAATGCTATTTATATTAGTTTTAATTAAAATAATAATGTTTAATTGAACTAGCTGATGAAGGTTAATTATTTGGGAAGCTTGAAACCGCGTTGACCGGACGGTTCCATTACGGTCCTAATTAGAAGAGCCAATTGTAGTTCAGTGAGGGTCCAGCGGCCGAAGGTAATTATAAGCTATTTTGTTTTATTTTTTATTTATCTTCGAATTATGTGATGCTCATTTTTTCGAATTGATATTTATTATTTTCTTTTTTAAAATAAAAAGATCGTGATTTCATCTGATCCATAGCTTGATGATAATATATGCAGAGAAAAATTATCTAATCATTGCAAGAATAAGATTTTTTTTTTTTTTTTGCTATTTTGTAAATTTTTGTACGTCTTTGAAATAGTAAACAATAACTATTTTTTTTTTTCTGCAGTCTATTTTTTATAGTTAGATTATAAATTAATAAATATCTCATTTTTAAAAGTCAACCAAATTAAAAAATAATATCTTATTAAAATTATGAGGTGCTTGCATGCATGCCACTGGATTCCTATGAATTTGTATGCATTGTTGCAGACAGATATATTAATGTTTTAATGTTGTACAAAAAATCAACATGCATATAAAAAAAATAAATAACTAGCGACGAGAACAATAGTTTTTACGTGAAAAACTCAAAGAGGTAAAAATTACGGTGTCTGGCCCAGTTGAAAAGATGCAACTGTGTTGATGTAAGTTTTAATCCTATACATGCCCTTGAATAATCGGAAACAATATAACACAAGTGGAGGTTATCGAGTTCACTTCTGTTAGGTCAGCAGCTAAATGTGTTGGGGGTGATAGTAGTGACTAGGTTGTTGTGAAGAAAAATTGATGGTAGACATCCTGTGCGTGCTGAAAAATTTGATGTCGACTTTGTTGTCGGTAGCGATAGCACAACGACTATTGTCTGGAGGTGGTGATGATGGTGGTCGAGCAGCAGTGGTTTAGCAATAACGATGGTCAAAAACAATAGTTGTGACAAAGATGTTGGTGGTTATGGTGGTGGTGATTCGATGGCGGGCACCGGCGGCAATAACTATGGTTGTTTGGCAATGGTGGTTTGATGGTGATGGTTGTGGTGGCTACGACCATATAACTGTTGGTTGGTAATGGTGACGACCAGACTGCAATGGTTCTATAACGACGATGATCTAGTGGTGTTTTGACAGCAGCGTATGATTGTGGTCTGACAACGACGATGATAGTGGTGGCCGGGTTATAGTGGTCCAGCAATGGTAACTGCCATGTAGCTGTGTACTGGAAGCAATGATTATGTTGGTTAGGTCGTGGTTCGGAAATGATGACGACCCAATGACGATAGAGCTCAAGCACCCTCTAGAGCTTGGTGCTCTTTTAGCTTTCTTTTTTAGGTCTGGTCGAGCAACAGTGGTCTAGTAGCGATGACCGCTCGACGATGATGATAACAAAGGTGGTTGGGCACTAGTGGTTTGGCAGAGGCGATGACGATTGAATAATAGTAGTTTGGCTATGGCTGTGGCATAAAGTCGATGGTATGGCGATGATGGACCTTGAAAAACCTCAAGAACTCAGATCTCCCTTCAACCTTCTCCTATAGGTCCAAATCCCCCATCATGAAGAGAGTGCGACTCTATTATATATTTTGTGAGTGGTTTCTCCAAAAATATTCCGTTAAAGCAGAACACTCCATCAAATAACCCATAGAGATTTTCCTAGATTAGATTTGCTTTTATGAGTGTTTAAGTGCCTTACTGATGTCAGAATCAAACCAAGTTACGCCCATTGGATTCATCTCGTCAAGACGCTCAATTTGATTTTGAACTTGTCATGTTTGGAGATCATTTTGTTGCTTGAACCGAGATTCATGCAAATCATTATCATATTTTAAGGGCACATCATACTTAATACCAAAATTTATTTTTTTTTTAATTTATACTGTCCAAACCTTTAATATCACATAAAAAAACAACTTTATTTTTAGTTTCTAAAAGGTGAAATACAATTTTTCTTCCATAGGTGATGTTGCATATATATATATATATATATATTAAGATATGTTGAAAAATGAAAAAAAATATTGAAGTCTATGTCTATTCTTGAATGATATTGATATTCTTAGAAGTGTAATATATGAAAATTGTTTTTAAGCTTGATGCTCTTACTTTCATATTTGGGATGCATGAAAGTATCCGTTGGCTTAACGCTTACTTTCACATGCAAGGAAAATCATATTTTATCGATCTTATGTTTTCCATGATCATACTATGACAAAAACACTTTTAAGTTTGATGTTTGCACGAGTTTATTCATGGCACATGCATATATATATATATATATATTAATCATGTGCTGATCTTGATGCACATTGGGACCGAGAGTTCCATAGATTTAATTATTTATGCTCTAAATCAAATAAAGTGTCTCGAAAAGATAAGCTAGCTGCTATCAATCAAGTTTAACCTAAGTCCAAGTGAGTTTGTATTATGCACTTGAAAGCATAGTAAGAATTTTAAAAATGAATTTTTATGTGACAAAATAATCTTCAAATTTGATAAGTTTATAAATAAACCGAGCACCTCGATGAGCCGAATCCAATAAGCTCAAGATCACTTAATTTTGACATCATTAAGCGCATAAATATTCATAAAATATCATCCAATCAAAAGGACATTATAAGCGGCCTCATAAAATGGTTAAGATTCATGTAATATTTATACAAAATGTCACTCGCAAAATCTATAAATAGGCTCCACTCTCTTCATAAAGGGGGACTTGGACCAAGAGGAGAAGGCTAAAGGAGCTCCAAGCTCTTGAGAGTTCTTGAGCTTCATCATCAAATTGTGGATGTTAGCTACCATCACCACTAGACCATTATTGCTGGCCCACCGCGGTCGCTGTCACCTCCGCCGGATCACCATCGTATGGTCGTCATCGTCGCCAAACCATTACTACCTCTTCAATAACATTGTCGTCATCGGGCACCATTATTTGGTCGCCGTCTTCATGGTACCATCAGTGCCATTGGACCACAGTCATTACCTCTGGACCATAGCTGCCCGAGCACCATAGTCGTTGCTGCCACACCACTATTGTATGGCCACAACCACAACCGAATCATTGTTGCCTAGCCATCATCCTCACCACCGTCGGACAACCATGGTCTGTCCACCATTGTTGTAGGACCACCGTCGTCTAGCCACCAAAGCCGCCATACTAATATTGCCCAGTTGCCTCCCTCGCCATCGTCAAACCACAACCGTTGCCATACCACAGACGTTTAGCAACCATCGTCGCAGAACCACTTTTGCTCAAAACTTTTGCTCAACAACCGCTATTATCATCGAACCACCATCGTCGCCACCAACACATTTTAGATAAATCAATCATTATTCTTTTTCTTCATATTTATTATTTAGATTTCTAAAAAAAAA